CCCCCCCCCCCCCCCAAACAAATTTGTAAACAGCCACAAGATCCCCTCTCAGCCTGCTCTTGTGGAGACTGAAGAGATCCAGGTCCCTCAGTCTCCCCTCATAAGGTCTTACCTGCAGGCCCCTAACCATATGAGTGGCCCTCTGGACCCTCTTAAGGTTATCCACATCCCTCTTGAAGTGCAGTGCCCAGAACTGGATGCAGTAGTCCAACTGCAGCCTGACCAATGCTGCATAGAGGGGAAGTATCACCTCTGTTCGTGATGCACCTGCTAATGCATGATAGAGTGCAGTTAGCTCTGCTAATTACTTCATCACATTGACGACTCATGTTCATCTTGGGATCAACTATGACTCCAAGAACCTTCTCTGCTGCTGTCCTGCTGAGAAGGTCCTCCCCTAGCCTATACATGTGTTGGTGATTCCTTCTCCCTAGATGCAGTACTTGTCTTTGTTGAACTGCATCCTATTCTTTTCTGCCCACTTTTCCAACCTGTCCAGGTCTGCCTGGATTCAATCCCATCCCACTAGTGTGTTTATTTTACCCCCATAATTTGGTGTCATCCCTGAATTTGGACAGCGTGCTCTCCACGCTTTCATCCAAGTCACTGATGAAGACAGTGAATAGCACTGGTCCAAGGACCGAGCCTTGGGGGAACCCCACTGCCTACATCTTTCCAGGTCGATACCGACCCATCCACCATCACTCTCTGGGTGCGACCCCCTAAGCCAATCTGCCACCCACCTGACCATGTAATCAGCTATGTCGCAGCCACTCAGTTTGTTTATGAGCATAGGATGAGATACCTTTAGGTGTTGTGCCAAAGCAACTCACTTCAGTTTCATGGTTTTGTTTTTTCTTGTTCCATTCCACTCTCCTTTGTAAAGGAACAGGTTGATGGTGCCAAATATGACTACTCTGCTCAGTACCACCAAACACAGGACCTGGAGGGGAAAGGAATCTGTGCCCGGGCACTCTATGACTACCAAGCTGGTATGATATATTTAGCATTTTTCTTCCCCTTCTGTAAAAGCACAGCCTTACGAGTGATCCAGTGAAGAGCTATTGAATGTTTTATCCTCCATGGAACCTCTACCCAAAAAGCACTCATGCAGCTAAAAAAATAACATTGAACCTGTCTCTTCTGCCTCTGCTCCTTCACATCACCTGTTCCCATTTCCTGCCAGATGGCTCCCTTTTCCTTTTAGCATATCAGGCCAAATCCTTATGTTGTCAATACCTTGAGGTGAAAAGTGTTACAAAAGCTGAGAGTCAGATGTATTGTGGTTCCCTCTGTCCTGAACATGTAGTTCTGCTCTGAAAAGTGGCTGTCTAGTATACATGCAGTGGCTACTGTAATGTAAGTGTTAACTAACAAGGAGTGGGAAGTTCCTGCTTTTATTCTTCCTAATCAGCTTGTGCTGGCTGCACCTGATAATAGTGAAATGCTTGTAACAGCTTTACTTGCAATACATCTGTTTATTAGTATAAACCTCAACACATCTTGAGTTCCACAGGGTTGGAACAACCAGGTCTGAGCTTTGAAAGCAGCCCAAAGTAATAGCCCAGATCAGGGAACAGGCAAGTCTGTGGTTTGATAACTGATTCCAAAAAAAAGAAAAAACCCAGATCTTTTCAAGAACAGATCAGTCTTCCTGGCCATAGTAGTAAATGGGGCACCCAACTGAGTGAGGGCAGCTGGAAGGGAGCTAAGGGGTTTAGGAAGTATAGGAATTTGAGGTGTGAGGTTACTGTGTTGTAGTGTTTGCTGTTTTGTTTTGTTTTTTTTTAAACAAGTTATTTGAGGAATCGGACAACTTTTTTTTTTTTTTTAACTTTTCCCTGTTCTGTCCCACCACAGCTGATGACACTGAGATCTCCTTCGACCCTGAGAACATCATCACCAACATTGAGATGATCGATGAAGGCTGGTGGCGTGGCTATGGTCCAGATGGCCACTTTGGCATGTTCCCTGCCAATTATGTGGAACTGATTGAATAAGTGGGTGGCTGGGGTGTGAGGATTGGAGCAGGGCCTTCCCCCTTCCCTTTAAAATGAACACGTACATGTCTTGATCAGATCTGATTTGATTCTCCAATATTTCCATTGTGCAGCTTTCCTAAAGAAGTGCCATGGCCTGAGCTGATCACAGCTGCAATAGCCACCCAGCACATCCTCTTCTCTATCCCCCTTTCACTGTGCCTGGGCTGGTACTTCAATGTGAAAGTTTGAAACTGGTATTAGTAATTTGCAGAACACTTTACCTATTGTTATTTTGTGTTTTGAAAAATGCATCTTTTGGGGGAATGAGGGAGGGACAACAGCTTATGCTCAGGCGTTCAGGGAACTGACTCTCCTCTTCTATCATTGCCTTCAGAGGGAAGGAGCCCCACTTCCAGATTCTTTCAGAAGTGCGAATTGGACAGGCTCTGACTTGGCATTCCACTGGGAACAATGACAGAATCCTTGTCTGTCCCTACAGAATTAATGCTGTGAAGATGAACACCCAAAAGCAGGGGAAATGCAGGGGTTTCTGTTCTAATGGCATCACTTGCTCTGTCTTGCTATGCGAAGCGAATTTAAATTACTTGCGTAAGCTGAGCGTAATAGCTACACGGGTGGCGTGCAGTCAAGTCAAGATGACTCACAGAACCCCGACTCTTGCATTTCCTGCTGCCTTAGTGGATTCATGTTTGCAGGTGATCTCTTTTCTACTGTGAAAGAGTTTGTGTGTTAATGTCTGCTTTAAAGGAATGGAACAGAGGAATCCCTGTAGCAGCCTAACATGGTGGAGGTGTGCAGGTACCTGCAGCTGTTCTGAGGGAAGTAGCTGGGGCAGTGTGCAACACTACACATGGAGCAACAGTTAGCCAGATATAGGATATAATATATAGGACCAATATACATGCTAGGAGAGACTTCCTTTAATCAATATATGTCCTTCACTGTGGACAAGCAACAGAGACACCTCTTAATTTCCAAGCAGTCATTAAGCTTTAAGTGTTTGAGAGTTTGTTTGGTTTTTGTTTTTTTCCTCCTTAAGGTAAAAAAAAAATTATTTCTCTTCTCCATTTAAGGCTGTCTTCTCCAACCCCAACATCCCCTGTTTGGGACAGAGAACCCGTTGGGGAAATGTACTGTGTGAAGGAGAACTCTTGTGGGAAATGGAGCATGGCAAAACTGAAGGTTTCTCAGTGAAACCCACCTTCCCCACAGCAATCAATACTGGTTTTTTTCCATCTTTTTTGTGTTCAATCTAGTCACTTCACTGTGTTAATCTAGGCCCTTGGATTGCTTGGTCTTGCCTCCTTTTCCCTAAGTTTCCCTCATTGAGGCTGATTCTAAGGTGGGGGGAAGGGGTTGGAAAACCTGAAGATCACAGTCCTAAAGATGCTGGAGAGGAGTATTTCTCTCCAGTCTGACAGGCCTGTTGCTGGATGCTGCCTCTCCTCTCCACTGCAGTGAGACTATCCCATCTCCTGTCCCCTCATGAGTCCAACCTCAGCTGCAGCCAGATGGGTTCAGAGACATTTTCTATGCCCTTCTAATCCTGGGGGCTCCAGAAGCCATTCATCGCATTCCTTCCTCTCACCTTATTTCCCAGCCTTGACAGGCTTTGAGGACTTATTTGTGTGAGCTTCATCTTCCTTTCTGTACCATCTTCCCTTTCCCCTTGTGGGAGTGTTAACCGGAACAATAAAGGGCTTTTCCTGGGTGATGGCTGTGAGCATGACCCCCCTGGGGCTTGTTCATTCCTAGAATTGGTGATGGCCAGAGATTACCATGATTGCTGTTGCTAGCAATGAGATGAGCTTGAATTTTTGCTCTTCAAGCCCTCACAATGGAAAGCAGTTGCTCCATATTGCTAGACAGGAAAAGCTCCTGTGTTAGGACATATGCAGTGCTGAGTTCCTGTGTCTGCCCTGAAAGCATTTAAGCTGCCCTTCTTGGCCAGGGTGTCTCTCAGCCAGGTATTCAGCCTATTGCCACTCTTGTCCTCCAGTGCCAAGATGGTTGTTATTAATGGTCACCTGCTTAGATTATCAGCTGCAGAGACTCCATTGTAAAACCAGAATGGAGTGGCAGCCTGGACCCATTTTAACACATGCCTTTCATCCAGTGGTTCCACTTTTTGTCAGTAAGAGTAGCTTTGAGGGTAGGTGTCCCTATTCTCCCCCACCCCTATCTTTCTCTGCTATGAGGACAGAAATAAAGAGTGATTCAACTTCTTTGCACTGTCCTTATCTTCCTTGATTGGTTCTGTTTAGCTCATAGTCCAGCACTTCTTAATCTTAGTAAATGTAAGAAATTTGTTTGTATTCAGCCTCTACATTTGCCCCTGAGTCTGTCAGTCTTGTTGTTTTCATAACTTTATTTTTCTCCTATTTACAAAAAAAAAAAAAAAAAAAGCCTGATGGCAGCCTTTCAAACCAGCAAAAGGATGATGTGTTAAGTTTTGGCCTATTGTCAATGTGAGCACATGTTAAAAGTACTCCTTTCTCTGATCTTCTGCTGTCGTTGTCCAAACATTAAGCAAACATATTTTCAGATTTCAAAGTGGAAAATGTCCTTCAAACAATAGCTTCTAAGTGTTTTCAGCCCTGAACAGGACACAAAGATAAATGCTTGCACACTATAGAAGACAGCTGCTACCAATGTGCTACGGCCAGGAAGAACAGACAGGGGTTTATATAATTAGCCTGGCAGCACACTTAGTATTTGTGGAAGAAACGAGTTTTGGAAGAATTTGGTGAGGTAGTGGTGCTTAAAGGCCATGCCAGTGACCAGGACAGCACGGAGAGAATGGAAGAAGGAAAGGGAGAAAGACAGACAGAATCTCTGCCCCTTTGCATGTGGGGTATAAGAGAGGACATGCATGTGTTGTGTGAAAGGAAATGGAGCAGTTGTGAAATTCATTCTGAGAGGTCACTCAGTTGGCATTCCTCCGCTTCTGTGGTTTGAATCAGTTGCAGGGAACATCACTTTTTTATCCAGGGGTATGTATGTGTACACGTGCTCCTAACACTTGAAAAAGGCCTGGTTCCCAGTGCTGAAAACAGGTTTGTACCATAAACTGGTCAGCAGGAACCTGTTCAATGCTAAAAATCTTGAACCAGAAGCAGAAAGTCTGGGTGTTTGTAAGAGACCCCCTACCTCCCCTGACTGATGGTGAAAAGGTCTCTCATTAACAAATCAGCCTACTTTCAAAGGGAAGGGAGCGCAACAGTACTAAAATACATTTCTAAGCCATGGGGAGGCTATCAGGGCTGGATATAAATGAGTCAAGCGCTGTGCAGCCCATTTGCTGCAGGAAGCTGGAGCAGCCAGTGAGGCCACTAGAAAAAGGGCTGTTCCACAGAGTTGGGAAGTGGGAAATTGAAAACACTTGTGTGTTGTGTGTGTTCACAAGCAGGCAGAAGCCAGTAAGTAACTTTGTATTTTGCTGCCCTGGGGAGAAGCTGGCAAGGAGGAAGAGAGGGGTCCCAAAACTCTAAGGAGAGCAGTGGTTAAGAGGGAAAATTATCTGGGGACAGAGGAGTTGGAGGAGGAAGAAAAGGGAAGGTGGCGGGTGTAGAAAGGAATGGGGAGGGATGGCTTGAAACTAATGCACAGCTGTGTGAGCTAAGGCACCCAACTACTGCTATGCTGCATGGTCACACATCCCAGCCCAACATGGTTTCCCCCTATAAGGAGGGTTGGTCAGTCTGGCTACTCAGTGAGAGAAGACACCCAGGGGCTATGGAGAGGGGTGTTAGTGCAAGCTTGGCTGAACTGGGCAGAGCTGTGCATGGGAAGCTGTGGCATGAGCCATGAGCTGGTCTCATCAAATTCTCTAGGCTTCAGATGCAACCCCTCAGTCTGGGGGGGCGGAATTAGCCCTGCCCCTCTCCTGAGGAGAGGACATGGGCAATCTTTTAGTTGTTCATTTCTCCTTGAGTCCACGTGCAAGCTTAGCTGCTTTCCCTCGCTGTAGGGTTGTTCTGTTATCTCTCACCCCAGTATAGGCCCTGGCACTATCCTGTTTTCCCCTTCACCATGACTGGGTGCCTGGGATGGCTTTCCTGGTCCCTGAGGCATTTCTCCATCAGGCCCTAGCCCTGCTCTGCCCTGGCCTCTACCCACCCCTCTGGCAGCTTTCTGGGGAAGCCGGCAGCCTTTGGGCAATGGCGCAAGCTGGATGTCCCTGAACCCTTCCACCAGTACTGGATTCGGAAACAAGATCCAGGCAGCCTTGTGAGCTCATGTGGAGGTGGCAGCATCTGGCGTGGGATCACATTAACCGGGTCAGGCAGACGCAAGGGGGCCAGACAGCCAGAGAGAGGGATGGATAATCAGATTGCAGGCTGGCCCTCCATTTAATTTCCTCCACCATGTCCCATCGCTCTCCTCCCTGAGGACCCTTTGCCATCAGCAGAGAGGCTGTTCAGTCTGATAGCAGTGCCGGGGCTCAGGAGTGGCTGGGCTGGGCTGAGCTGAATGTCTTTGCAGCCTTTCCTCGCACTATTTTATTCCAGGACTAACCACGGCAAGAAGGGCCTGTTTCCTAGCCCAAAGACCTCTGCTTATCCCTAGCAGACACAGCACAGCTCTGAGAACTGTCCAGCTCTGTTCATGTTACAAGGGAAGTCAAAAGAACGGGGTTACAGAGGCCTCTCATGGGGACAGCTCAACCTGCCACTGGAGGGCTGCTCTGTCTTTCTCTCCATGCTCAACAAAGGGCACGGTGAGAGTTTAGGACCTGATTTGGAGAGGAGGCAAATTTTGTCTTCTCTCTGCAAGCCCTAATATGATCCCCAGCCCAGCCCTCATGGCCTACTACAAGGCTTGGCAGAGGCACAGAATCACCGTGAGGCAAACTGCATAGACGTGTGCCCTCGCCTGTCGTCCCCCTTCTGCCCTTGCTCTGCTGCGTGGAGCTGGCCAGCTGTGCCACGTGGCAGGGCTCCCGAGCAGTAGGTGTTTCAAAGGGGACTTGTCCCCCATGGCCTCACTGGCTTAAAGGTGCTGTGGCAGTGATGTCTGGGACCCTCAGCCTGCTGTGGCCTCCACGCCCCACATAGGGTGCTTGTGAGAGGGGACCTTGTCTGTGTATCTTTAGACATGGCATGGCTTCCCTGCTCCACATCAGTGAGCCCCCCCCCCCCCC